CGACGTATTACTGAAAGAAATCGGTCATATGAGAGCTAAGAAAAAGTTGCGACAGACATAAAAAAAACACATCATAGTAAAATTAATACTTCTCAACTTCGCATCGAAGCTAAAAATGATCCAAAATTTTCAACGGAGACATTAAGTGGTATTTGAGCTAGCAGGTCAAGACAATCAATGGCATTTTCAATGGGTTTTAAAATAAATTTAATCTCATTATTGAAAATTTTCTTAGACTAAGTGTCCAAAATTGCATCTTATGTACTTACTTGTTTCTTGAGGAGCCGCATTATCATCTAAACAATAAACACAACATTGAATTAGCGATGGTCAAAAATATCTAGGTAAATTATACTTCGTTATCTAAATAACAAAAACATTAAAGTGAAATTTTTTTATATAGTCAGAGAAAGACATCAAAAATATCAGTAAAAATTGTTAGAACCTCAGTAATATCACCATCATAAATGAAAAAATCATAAATGTCATGTAATAATGTGTGTTTTTATATATACAATTTCTCAATTGTCCACAGGAATTGAAAAAAAGTGTTACATAAAATTTAAAGTTCTTTAGTTAATTTCTTACTTGTATTTACATAATTGTCATCTAAACAAGTTCGAATAATAACACAGAATAGGCTAAGTTCTACATAGAATAGATTTATTATAGAATTGAATAATTTAGTTAGGTATAGTTAGGTAGTTATGTTTAGAATAGTTATATACATAATATAGGTTAAATATATATTCTATATTAATTTATAACATAAAACCATACTTATTAAACATAAATAAGTTGTTTTTTAATAACTTATTTTTATATTTTATGTAGCAAAATTAGCCTCTAACTTAACGTCACATTAAGATCAATATAACAAATTCTATATATACATATATATATATATATATTAATAACATTTCTTCTGATTACCAGTATTATCTGAAGCCATAATGACACCTAAATAATAAATAAGTTAAAATAATATACTTTTGGAAATATTCATTCTTTAGTAATACACCAAAAAATCATTTACTTCTCATAGTATTGATTAAGTCAAGAACTAAAAAATATAAATTATAGCATTTTATAGTATTTTATAGGTTAATTATAGTATTATAGTATCACAGTATTATTAAAGATTTTATAGGTTTAACATTTTAAATGTATAAATTTCAACTTTAGTAAAATATTTATTAAAATTTCGAAAATTGTTATCTAAACAAATGAATTTGTTATTTTGAAACCTATTCTGAATACTAAAATAGATTGAAAGAAATATGATATGAAATAAAAACGAAAAAATAATAATTTTAAATATATATTTGTTATTCTCAAACGTTATATTTTTAAATTTTATGTAGTAAAAATTAGGCTCGAACTTGATGTCATACTAAGATCTAAATAACAAATGCTTTGTGAATTAATAACATTTTTCGCTCTTACCAATATTTTCCGTAGTTGTATTGCTATCTAAATAATAAAATATTATTAGTATTATCCAGTACATATAAATCTATTAAATTATCATTTACTTGTTGTAGCTTCGCTCAAGTCATTAGCTAAAAAAAAATACAATATATATTTAATTTTATATGTACGATCATATATGTTCAAAATTTTAAATGTATAAATGTTTAATATTCAAGATAAAATCGATAATTTATGCTTGAAAAAACATTATAAACCTATCAGCACCAGAAATTTGAAAATATTCATTCAGTTTTAAACATTTTATAAAATATATCAAACTATGCTATTGTAAAATAGGCATATTCAATTTTTTTTTACATTTTAAATTTACTATAATTTTATTTTTAAACTCTGGTCCTAATAAATTTTTAACTAATGACAATAAACATTCCTTTGCTTAGTGTGTGAAATTGGCTATATTGATATATTGGCATTATATCATTATACACCAATCAATATTAATATGGCTGATTGTATGGTACACCATTACTTTTTGTACTTAGGTTTTTCATTAGATCTTCATGAATAGTATATTAAAAATTCATTATTATTAGTTTTTTTGAATTTGATACAGGAAATAAAAAAACGAAAAACTTTTTACAAAAATTTTGTTACTGTTGGCTTTAAAATCAATTAACTGATAAAATATATATCGCGGCAAAGTAATTCTTTTTTTAATCATAAATACATTAAAAAACTTTAATCTTCCATATGATAAAATTTGTCAAACTTACCNTTTTAATCATAAATACATTAAAAAACTTTAATCTTCCATATGATAAAATTTTATCAAACTTACCGGACAAATTTTTAAAAAATTGAAAATTAAGGATTGAATTAAGGAATTAATAAGACAGTATTAAATACTCTTTAAAGTTCTTTAGTTAAATACTTACCCAAAACTTGAGATAATCTATCTAAACAAGTATAAAAAAAAAACTGAATTAGCTAAGTTCAAACTTATTCTGAATACTAAAATAGATTGAAAGAAATAGGATATATAATAAAATCGAAAAAACAATACTTTTAAAAAAGAAATTTATATTCTCAAACGTTATATTATACAATTTTGTATAGGAAAAATCAGCCTCGAATTTAATGTCATATTAAACGCGAAATAAAAAGTTCTATGTCAATTAATAACATTTTTCGCTCTTACCAATATTATCCGTAGTCGTATTTCTATCTAAATAATAATATATTAATAGTATTATCCAGTACATATAAATCTATTAAATTATCATTTACTTCTTGTAGCTTCGCTCAAGTCATTAGCTAAAACAAATACAATATATATTTAATTTTATATGTACGATCATATATGTTCAAAATTTTAAATGTATAAATGTTTAATATTCAAGATAAAATCGATAATTTATGCTTGAAAAAACATTATAAACCTATCAG